TATCATATCAATGTTAATTGGCAAATGATTATATTAGCTTTCACGTCGGCTTGTATATTTATGTTGAAATATCTAAAATATTTATAAAGTACTTAACTGTCACCACACGTTGTGTAATACATTTTGTAACAAAAAGCGCGACAATTCCCTATGCGTTCATCCTTAGCAGTTACGAAAAAAAAATAGATGTTCCCTAGTGACTTTTATAACCACGTCGCAAAGGTTGACACACGAGGCGCGTATATCGACGGGTCTATATTCAAATCACCCTTTTTCATCAGCAACGGTAACAGATGTTCGTCGCCCATCGATCACGACGATTCTATTTTCGAACTGACGCTTCTTTCGGAACGTCAACTACGCGTCTGGATAAAAGATCTATCGATCAGCGGTATAGCGCCTTCGCGTAACGTAGCGAAATAATTATTCTCTAATGAGGCCCTCTAACACCGAGGCGAACTCAAACGAGAGAGCGCGGCATTTTTTCGAACTTAGTTCGCGGCTTGATTTAATTATCAACTGTTGATTAATGAAGCGTACAACTTCCGCCAAGTTTTACTCGCGGAAACGAGTATAAGAAGATCGATCGCTAAACGCGCTATACACCTCGCCTTGACTCGCTATCGAGCGGCAGCTCGTCAAACGAGTTAACACACCCGTACTATAAGGCCACGAACCGTTTATAGTAGTAAAAGCGAAGCTAATGGCGCGACACAGTTACAGTGTTAAAGAATAATTGAATAAGCGATTACAAAGAGGGAAGTGAATAGAAGTTGTCTCTTTGCTGCTCGCTCGACATTGTCGACGTGCGTAATAAATATTTTATTCTCGTCGAGCTGCTTGAATTTAGAACGAACGTTTATACTTCGAAAAACCGTCAAGAAAGTAGAATGTTTTGTCAGCAAAGGGGTTTCTAGCTCGCGTGTCGATCGCTCTTATACCGTTCCATCATAGAAGACAGAATACTTTGGTAACTTCGTAGCGTTCAATTACATCGCGGTCTTAATAGGATCGAATTACTTTATAAGCGTAACGCCCTGAGTGAACTAACTCGCGACGACATCTGAGCAGCTCGATGGATACGTGTATGAGAGCTCGCGAGTAGTCGTGGCATTGCCCGCGTCATAGTAGTTACTCGGTGATGACGATGGCTGCGGGATAAACTTAGGCATGTTTGCCGAGCAATCAAATATATGAGTGGAAAGTCTCGTGGGTACTATCGATCGGTTCCAAGTCCTCATCGTGATGATGGGTGGTGTACGAGAGGTGGTTGAATTGAAGGAAGAAGGATTCAGGACCGATGCGGGAGAAGTCCACGAAACTCAGCTCGCCACCATGAAGAGCCGTCGATTCGATCAGCGCTTGATTACATTTATTATCTGTTGCTGGACGTTATTTATATTATAAAGGCAAAAGAGAGCATTAAATATAGTCTTAATTCGAGCAGACGAAAAAAAATCGTTAGAATAGTAAATATAATATAAGAAAAATAAGATTCTAAATATAATATTTCCTATACATCTTTTTATAATCCAAATAATCGATAATTTCTTTAGAATAAGTATCGTTGTCTTACTTCAAAAGTGATACAATTGAAAAAATGTAATTTTCGAACTATATTATTATGAATGAGTTAGGTAAATATTACTCTATCAATCATCAAACGTAAACTAACTTAACTTCATAGTTAAATAGTGTCGTTCTTAAGATTTTCAAAGAGATCATAATACCTTCTACAAAAATAACACATTTTGAACTGTGTTGTTTTTGTAAATAAAAAGGAGAGTCTTTTTACAGGGAACATTTAGAATTAAAACAGGTTTGGTAATCAAAGTTTGAAGAAAAAAGTTTGTTTTATTGTAAATTTAGTCATTTTAGCTGAGCAAGGTAAATATAAACTGTGTTGGTGATATTTCGAGTATATTATTTTTGATGAATTATTTTGGATTTGTTATAATTTTTGTAGAATATTAAAGTCGTTACACAATTCAAAAAGGATAATTTTTTAAGGGTTGTGAAACGGAAATGACAAAAATAACGTTTGATGTTTTTAAGAATATATTTTTTTGTTGATATCATTTGATTAGCTAATAATTTTTTGTTAAGTTAAAAAATAATTTTTTTTCTTTTCTATAAAACTTAGTATTTTTAGTTGTATTTTGAAGTAAGGGAATATTTTGAAAGGAATATAAATTCGCCTTCATCTTATTAATAATAAGACGTTTTCCGGTTGATTTATCTTATATATCTTATATTATTATATATTATATATTATTTATTATTTTTTATTATGAAACATGATATATATTTTTGATGCATGCAAAAATAGTAGAAAAAACATACATACGCGATTTCAGATATGGATATATGCGAAATTTCGTGAAATTCGAGTCTTTTATTTTCGCGCGAGCTTGCATCCCGTCGATGCGAAAAACGCCGAACAAAAATCTCAAGTGCGCATCGTTTTCGTGAGATCCGTAAAGAAGGAAAAGATGAGGGAGGAACGCTCTGGAAGCTCCGGCAAATTCTTACGTTCGCCGTATACGACTTCAGAATCTATAGGATTCGACAAGGGACTCGTCTGTACGTTTGCCCGATATCGGTCCTTCAGAAATTTCGACCATTTTTCCATCTCGAATTCCCTCGCGAAGCGCACGATAATCGCGAATAATTGTCTGCTCGAATTCTGCAAATTAACGTGATAAAAAGAAAATAGAATTACCGAATTTATATTGATCAAATTAATTTATTACGTATTAATCTACATATTATGCGAATTGTGAATGTATGTTCGCGTGCGCACATTAACAGTGGATCTCTCGATCCTGGTTAAATATTCGAGGTTTTCGAGATTCAAAGGCCTGATTAATGTAGCGGCATGAGGTTGACATGGCGACATTATCATCGCTACAATGGACGCCAGGTGTTCCAGACAGGAAGGGCCAGAGAGGCAAGGAGTATAATGCCGTCAAGCAACGCCACTTAATGAGCTGCCGGGAACAAAGCGGGAAGAACCGCTTTGTCATTTTTTTTCGTGCTCCAATTACTTAGCGTTTTAGAACAGTTGTACGTGATTATCTTTTCTTTACTCCGCTTCATCTAACACACCTCGTGCGGAATGTACAGTGTTCTTTCACGAAAATTGATTTACATAAAACGAATAATATAAGTGTGTTCTACGTAATTTTTTTTTATACCAAGCGTGATATTCATGATATTCTCGTATAATTCATCATAAAGTTTTGAAACGTGATATATCGATCGAAGGTCTAAAATTGTCTGCCTATTCCGACTTTCTTGTGTCATATCATTCAAGGAAGCAAGGGATGGGAGTTCGAAACTGGATGTCGAAGACGAGGGCTGCTGAGATCGGAGAAAGGTCCAGGGCTTAGAAAAGGAACGGGTGGATACGTTATCTTGTCGTACTTCAGCAAGTACGAGGATGAGCGTCCTCTTTTCGCCCTAATTCCCTTCAATCCCTGATCCGTCCCATCCCCTAGAAGCATATCGCAATCGAGTTTCGTTTATTTTTCAAGAGGCACCCGTTCGACAGAAATTGGCGAGTATATTGGACGATATTCGATCCTCGAAAAGATTAATCTCATTTTTTAAAAAAGCGTTACCACGTTACGCAATTCTCGCGTGTAGTTGAACTCGCAATGTGTTTCGATTTCTGCTCTGATTTTAACGTTGTTACGTTAAATTTAATTATTACTCTCATCGATTAGTTTTTCATGAGGCGAAAAACTCGAGGCGTCGATCGAATCAAATTTACTAGCTATAAAACTCAACGTTCCCCGAAAAAGAAGAGAAGAAAATAAACCGATACGATATCGCCTGCTATCGGCATAAAATATCGTTTGGGTATCGCCATATGACGCGACCTCAATGCACAGGAAACTCCTCCAAGTTTCTTGCCCCCGCGGTAACATCGAGAGGTTTATTTTTCGAACAAGTCCGTTTCGACAGATCGAACGATCCAGTGGATTATTATCTCGTTTATACGACGCCCCGCGCAAAGGATGACAACAATTGCAGCGCATCGTTTTCCTACGCTACGATACAAATAGTTATTGCACGAAACCGCGATCACCGTCGTCTCGGATTACGAAGCGCGTTGTCCGCGCGCGGTAAACATCTTTTATTAAAGTGCAAGTTGCGCTCCGCTGGCGCGTCAATTTTTCAAAGAGCCCCCGAGCTCTTTGTCTTCACCGCGTCTCCATCTAACTACCGGCGATGAGCGCACGTGGCAGGTGGTAGGAGAGCGATTAATCGTTCCATCATCTCGTCGCGGACAGCCTCGCTACTCGACAATGGCGGAAACGGAACCCCCTTTCGCCGCGGATCACTCGTGAAGATAAAACGGATAAAACTATTTTCCTCTTCTTCCGGGTTTTGAGTACGCCATGGAATTTTTGTGACGAAGAAAGGAAGAGTTGCCGCTGCTCGCGACGTTCCTTCCGGCAAATGAATAGCGAACGTTACGAATTCTACTGAACCTTTGTTTCGCTTCTATCTTGGCGAAAAATCGTATGGTTTTAGACAAGCGTTTTTGTACAATAATAATCTGAAAAAAAATATACTCGATTTTAACAAATCAATTGTTTGAATAGTACCAACTAAATGTTTACTAAATATAAAAATATATTTATTTGGTACAAAAATCATTAATTTGATTTAACAATTGTTTTTTTTTTATTGAGTATTTATTTACTGTAAGTAAATGTTTAGCTGGTACTATTCAAATAAATATTTATTAAAATTTAGTACATTTTTTCTCAGTGTACAGTAAATATTTATTAACCTTGTAAAATTTATCTCGTGGATATTCAAATAATACAGACTATTTTGTGACATATGGTATAATACTTTCCTATTGTGGTAAAGAAAGAACCACATTTTCACAATATTTAAAATATTAGTAATATAAATTGTAAAATCTATATACATGACATTTTTCATTACTTATTTAATAAAAATCACTCCTCTTTTTGTTTCAGGCTGTGCCTTCGTGAAACTTTCCTCGCACCAAGAAGCACTGGCAGCAATAAACTCTCTACACGGTAGCCAAACTATGCCGGTAAGTATCTGTCGTATAATATTACAACAACGAGCATTAGTCGATCCCTTTACTCTTCGAGCGCGCGTTTATTTTTTTATCTTTCGATCCGCCTCTTCAGCTTCAGCCGATGACCGCCAGTCATCGTGTTCACGGACGTCGGCGCGTATTTACGCTCGGAAAATGTCACGTACGCGATATTAACAGAAAGGAGGGTAAATATTCATAGAAGCGCTGGATGAAGGGGGGTTGATATGAATATCGAGGATAGGGATGCGCGCCATGGCCGGACAGTAGATGGCCGTCTTCCGTTAACGGTAGTGGTATGAGGGGGTTGTTGGAGGGGATAACTGGTAGCTGGTGGTTGGAGATCGGACCGGGTAGCCGTAGCAATGGCTGTCGTGCCTGCAAACACCCCAGTAATGACTGGCCAAACAGAAATCTGCATAACACTTGGAGAAGCGCGGCTCGCCTCCTTCTCTCCGCAGCCCTCTGGGGAGAAGAGCGGCCCTCGGTCTCCGTCAAACCGCCGAACTTTCTCGGCTTAGGGTCGGACCAGGAATTCCCAGTTGTAATTGAATTGTCAGTGAGTTCCGTCCGGGATTCCACCTGCTGATTGGCGAAACTTTGTAAAGCCGCTTGCCGGACCCCTGATCGTCCTTGTCGGCGTTATTGCCTATCGACCGCCGCGCCGCTCATGCTGACATGCATTGACGCGTCTAAGGGAGTTTGTGTCTCAGACAATTATTAAACTATGTACAATTAAAATCGGAACGAAGATTTATATTGAACTGTCGTCTTTACATTGTCCGCGATTCGAAAATTTTTTAATTTAATCATTATCGTCCATCATAAAAGACTGCTGTTAAAAGAAAAGAATTGAAATATCGAAGAGTTAGCATAAATTTCTACGAATTCAGTATTAAAAGGATTTGAAAAAATTGGAAGGAACAAGCAGTGAAACATAAGCAAAGTACTTTTATAAAAAATCTACATCCAACTATATATGTGTTGCTGATTTTTCTATAAGTAGATTACTCCTAAGAATCTGACACGAAATTTTATGAAACCATATCGCCTTATTACTTTTTATCAAAGCTACTACAAAAGAGTAACAGGATTCATCATATTACATGTTCTTGCGCAAAGGGAAGCTCACGCTGCTTTTGATATTTGATGGGGAATTCGCGATTCGCCCACGTCGTGCATTAAACGCGTGTACGTGCGTTGGAGTGAAATCACATGGGTGGTAGTGCGGAATGGTTACGTGAATATTACTCGTTACAATCCTCTAATCTAATAGCCGAGTACACAGGTAGAAGATGGAGCAGAGGTCGACTTCAGGACCGCGACTATTTGCCCACGAAAGAGGCGCGCGCGCGCGGACCGTAATATGCAGATTGCTTAATTATCGCAACGAATTATGCAAATCTCGACGTCGATGTTACGAGATTTCGTGGCACAGTCGTGACTGAAGGGATGGGAAGTGAGAGGACGAAAGCAGCGGCGAGTGTTGGGGTTAACGCTTTCGCCAAAATGCCGATCTTCGACCCTGAATTATTCGACCCAGAAGAGATACGAAAAGCACGTGGTTGCCTTCTACACGAGTGGCTTAATTATTGCGGCGAATTATGCAGATTTCGAAACGAAATGGAATTCTGCACGACGTGGGCGAAGAGTAGCAGGGGAAAGAAAGCCGTTTGTTAAACAATTAAATAGCAGCGAGTGTGATTTAATGCAGAAATTAAATCCACATTTTTCTTTTCCGTTAAAATATATGGCAACAAAATGCAAATTAATTTATTAATTTGATATTTATTTGATGATATTTAAGAATCACAGGTTTTATTTCGCTACTATGTTTACCTTTAAGTATAAAGTAGGTGGTCACAGCATCCCACGCATAAATATCTTAAAAATCTTATTATAAAAGAGAAAAATAAAAAGTATTGTCCAGAAATATTAAAGTTTATTATTTTAGCATTCCTGTATCTCATAATTGTATAAACAATGTAAATATAATTTTATATTTACTATTAAATATAAAACTATAATATATGAATGAAATCTTTTGAATTATTCTGAGCGCGATTACTCTGTTATATATCAAAGGTGCAATGGTAATCTAATCCTTTGAGTTAAATAACATTTTGTTATTTTTAACTTTGTGTGTCAATGGCGACCTATAGAAGTGATTAAAAATAATTCAAATTGAGTATAATTTGACATTATGAATTTATCTACTACGAATATACCTATGAGTGTACCTACTTAAAGGTTAAACATAACCTTAGTAAGATAATAATAAATTCAAATAGTAATAAGAAGGTCTTATGCTCTTTTTAGACAATCGATAAATCTTTCGCAGAAAACAATCGCTGTCACAAAGTTATAGAACCCTAAGAGTAATTTGACTTAACTATGTTCGTTCCAGTTTCCTCTGACCCAGCGCAAGATCAAAACCCCTTCCAATTTTCCCCTCTCCTATCAAATCCGTCGATCTATATAGGCACGTATGTATGTGCGCGCATAAAAATGTCGGGTATATGTACGATCTCACACGTATGTCATTTCGCGTGTGTGTCCTCTGCTTTCAGCCACTCGAACACGTCGACACTCTCGGTCACGAAACTGCATTACGAACGCAACATCTCGGCTCATACCTACGAAATGAGATATTGATTTGCAATCTGATACTGTAATACACGACGACGCGCTGTCGGCCTGCAGACGACGTACTAGCTCGTAGGAGAAGCGTGAAATCGTAACACCTTATGAAACACATGTGATAAAGATATACACAACATTAATTATTTTTTTAAGTAAATGAATTAACATTGATTCTCTTTTCAATTTTTTATACGAATTGTCCAATTTATAATGGCAAGTTTTCAGTTTTTTGAAGCATAAATATAAGTAATAATTGATATAAATTGAAGAATTGTATATTTAACAAGAGTTTGCACACAAAGAAAAATATCATTGTATTGCTAAGAAAAGTGATTAATTTACTTTCTTTCTTTTAAGGATTATCTTTTACAAAGAATATTTTTTTATAATAATTTTAATACATAATACTTAATATAAATTGAAAAAACTTATTAATGTGTACTTAAAACAAGAATTTATTTCCTTTTAAAGAATATTATAAAATTAATTGAAGAGACAATTTTATATGAAAAACAAATTGAATTTATTTTAATTTAATAATTTTGATTGAAGTATTAAACTTATTAGGATTCACAGAATATGTTTTAAATAAATTTGATGCTTGTAAATTTATATGATGGATTTGCGGATGTACGAATTTTTGAAATATACTTGAAACAAGTATTTATTATTTACATCCAATATGTATTTTTCTGTGTGCAATATTATACTTTTATATATCACTTTGAAAATATAAGTATTTGTATATTTTTATTACATTATTTTTATTACGCATATCTCATATATTTGTCGCGAGAACGTTATTGTATTAGCGTACAAGTATCATAAATATAATTTATGACTGATATATTACTATTATATAAATAAATACACAGTTTAAAAGTTGTGATAGATTATACGCTTTCCATTAAAAACGCGATATTTTTAATAGATGCATTGTATGTAGCCGCGAGATTAATATTACAGCACTTTCGCTGACAAAGCATTACCATAAAACTTGTCTACTGGCAACACACATGCGTATACATTTTATTTCGTTTTCACGAGCGGGATAATGCGATTTACGCCTCTCGGATCGACGCATTTATGCGTCACACGACAGGCAATATTTCTTTGGTCGCTCAATATTTCAGCCGATTTTACAATTCGTCGTTCGCGGATATTACACACGAGAAAATTTTAATTTCTAACAATACCGAGACATTTATATACCGACCAATGGTAGTACAAACATTTTTTTTCGATTTCACGCCCCGTATAATGTGGTTTACGTTTCTCGTAGCGACCTTTCCGTGCAAGTAGTATTTCTCCAGCAGCTCGATGTATTCCCGGGTTTCGCTATTCTCTTCGCGTGGCTTTAAACCCTTTTTTTCAAATAAACACTTTAACAGAAAAATAACTTCACCACCACAGAGCGCGTAAACCTGTTTGCGGGATCAGCTAGTTTGCCAGGTTAATGCTTTATGAAATATTACAGAAAAAATTTCCATTGACACGATGACATTACAAACCACGACTCTGTCATGCGAAGCGTTGAGGTAACGCCGGCTTTACTCTTTTTTCGTGTAAAAGATTAGATCTTTTATACTCGCGATGATAATCTACTACAGAATACATACGCGATCCTGTATCAGGTGCGTAAGAGTATTACACCTCTGAGCTTTGAATTTTTTTGCGTGTTTTTTTGTTTGATCACATCGATCCACAGGCTGTTTACACGTCTCGAATCAGAGGCGCGTTCGTGTATCACGCAACGGACAATATTTCTTCGGAGGCTCTCAATATTTTCGCGCTCATCGCGGACTCTGACGTTCACTCTTTCTCCCTTTCTCTTGCATTTTGTGTGTGTGTGTGTGTGTATGCTGCGCATGCTTATGTAACGGTATGCGACCGGGCCTCACGTAGTTATGCTTTCCGAAGCGTATGACATTTCTTGTCACGCCTCGCGAACCCTCCAACGCCACGCTTCTCTCGCACCAAGAGATCTTCCCCTCGCATACATATATCTTCCGGAAATGCCTCGTAATAAAAGGTAAAAACCGCGTGAAGTGTTTCGTCGCGCCACCCCAAAGCGACGTCCCATTGGTCCTATTTGCGTACTTTGGCATACCGCCGATTTTTGCCATCTCCTCGCAGTAAAGTGAGAAACATGCGACAGTAATCTACGTCTATACAGGATTTAAAGCAATTTGGAATATACATATAACCAACGTAAGTGATATTTCATTGAGTACATGACGAAGTAAAAAAAAGTATGAACTCTTGATCGATTTAATAAGAGAGAAATTGAGGTATATTAAGTAATACGTTGAATGCGACCAAATATCTCAATACATGGGTAACCTTTAGTC